TTATTTTCCGTCAATATTTGCAAAATGCCGAACACAAAAATTTTAAACTCCCCAAGGGAGGTTAAATATCTTAGGACTTTGTAATTGCCCGAGAGTTATCAAAGAAAAATAAGCAAAAGAAACTGAGGAAATCTGTTTGCTCGTATAAAGAATTGTTCGTGTTTGCCTGCAAATTGTACAATGAGCAGCTGATGATATCAGCTTTGTACCTTTATAGGGGTACGATATGCTAAGCAAACGGTACGTGTCGGAAGAAATAATTCCCGGAACAGATGGAAAATTTGACAGTTATCGGGGTTATCTGGAGAAGTTGAACAATCAACAACGAGCGGAATAAACCCATTAGAATTTGGGTGAATGATGAAATAAAAATCAAGCAACTGTTTGAAGAGGAATTTTAAAATAATATTTTATAAGATCTAGCTTTGTATTTATTGATCTTTATTTAGATCTTTACATTTGAATATGTTTTGTTTTCCAGTTCTGGCTTTAATAAAGTGAGACAACCAGTCACAATTTGTTTTAGATCACTATCTGTAATATAATTTATTTTAACAAATGAATCTCATTCTTTGAAGTTAAACATGAAACCTTGTTTTACATTAAACTTTTCCAATGGCGCCTCTGTTTATGTTAAACTCAGCTGTTCCCCAAAATACGATCCATAAAACAGATACGTTTTATAATTTGTTGTATCGCCAGTTGATCGTTACGACCTCTTGACGAATGCATCGAAAAGCGCCACTCAAATCGGAGAGCCATCAGGTTATTGGGGCTAAGTGAAAGTAAATTTGTGGTATTTTTATGGACATACATTGGGCTGGAGACAGATGCCATTAATGTTGCATTCCATTTCTACTTCGGCGCTGGAGTGTTGAAAGCTCTTTTGTCTGTCGCCCTGGGCACTTCACACCGAATTGCTTAATCAGAGTGGTTCTTTCTTATATCGCATATAGATCGGCTATACATATATCGCAGCCATAAGCGCATTCTTTAAGTGTGGCCGAGGCCCAGTGGCTTGACAAAGGCGATTAAAATAATTGGCCAGCGACGATTCTTCGATTCTTGTTCGTGGTAAAAGCCATTCCGAGCTGATTTATTGCATTATAAATTTGTGCGCATGCCTAAGAAGCTAAGATTTTGAAATTTTAGAAAGTTGGCCAGCCCCTCGCCCTACCTTCTTCCGAATTCTCCGCACTAGGATATTTTATTAGCTACTACGCATCTATAAATTATGCCTAATGAGCCGGCTAGACGTCGAAGACAACAAAAGACTGAGTTATCTGGGTTGGGCCCTTGGAATATATATGTGTATTTTGAGTACTTTGAGTGCGGGGGAAAATGGTGTGAAATTGTAATTGGATTGGAATGCGCAATGAGGCGGAAATGTAATGCAAAATGTTGAAACAAATGGATCTTGTTTGTCAATTAAAGTGTGACCATAAAACATGTCACAATGATGTATGCCCAAAGTGGATTTCATAATCCCCGGCACACACAAAATTACATGAATTCTATAGTTTTACGAGCGGCGGATTCAATTGGAATTTGGTCGTTAATGAAGTGAACGATCCTATTGCTTCAATATAAAGTTTTGACGCTTTGTTTATGGTTGCTTGAATTTAATTAGTTTTGGAGTATTTAAGAATCCTAAGGTAAAAGAAAATGTATATTATTGTAAGTGGGAGTTTCCAAGACCAAAACTCCTTTGATAAAAAATACTTTCTAAACCAATCTCTTGAAAATTCACAGATAAAACCTTTCTGTAATCAATTTTCCATTATTCAATCAACTATCAACTTAACTGAATGTAAATCCAGTTTCTTATCGAACCTTTGGGCAGACAAATAGATCACTCTAACCACCATTTCGACTATCAGCACCATCATCATCATCACTTTCTGGGGACGAATGTTAGGACACATGAATTCTGGTTAAATAAGAACCCTTTTTTTTAGCTAACTGGCCTTAAAAACGAAGAGTGAGGATGGGGAATGTGAGGGTCATGGCGACAGCAATAATTCAAATGGGAGCAGCATTACTCAAAGCGAATTGTGTGTGCGGTTGACAGTCGGCGGAGTTAACGAATGAAACCCTGGCCTGTTTCCTTTGGTTTTGATTCATGGTCTCTGTTGGCCAGTGGCCCGCTCTTCTTCTTGATCATCACTTGGCCAGGTCTAATCGCCTTGGCGACACCTATTTTCGTAGGCGCGACATCCCCCGTCCAGTCCCTTGAACATCCACATCCATATCCACTCCATTTGGGACCCTAAGTCACATTCACATCCGTGCGTATGAGCATCATCAGTTGCCAGACCGTAACTAAAATGAGACGCCAAACAAAAAGCAATTACGTGTGCTGCCTGCCCTTTTGAGTTATAAAGTAGTAGGAATGGGGGAGTAGGGTGATTCGTTTGGGGTTACCAGCAATGAATAAAATTCCTTATCGCCATGAGAGTTGTACATGAAGAGAGGGATATTTTTGGGATGGGATCGTGAAAAGCGATCGGTAAAGTCGAAACCCTTGTAAGAGATAGAAAATTGCCTTAAACTAAAAACATTTAAAAATAATATTTAAAGTGACCTGATTAACAAAAATTTAATGTACTAAAACAAATGATACCATAACAAAACATATTTTAGAAATGTTTCAATTTCAAGATCTTTTTGGACGCAAGATTTCAAAGATTTTTTCCTTATGATATAACATATTTTAAATCTATAAACAAATTTTTTTAGACAATATAGAATGTTTTTAAGCTTGTTACTATTTTGTATTCATTTAAAAAAGTTGGTGATTAATGCTAACTTTTTTTTTGCGTTATTTTTACCTTCACTTTATGTTCTTATACAGGTTATTTTAGGTTAGCCTTTTTGGTTTTTTCAAATTTAGTTCAATGGCACTCATTGTTATTTCCCTCGTGATTCAATGCCACCTCTAACTTAAAGATTCATAGGACAGATATATGAACAACAGAGAGAGAAGTACTCGGAGGCCCAAGATACGTAGTCGCCGAACAAAAGGCAGTGGCAATTAATCTTCGCTTCTGAGTTTGGCTTCAAGGTGAATTGTGTGGCATGCGCCCGAGGGCCAAAAGCCCGATGTGTTTGGGCCTCTTCCTTAACCCACGAGGCCCTGGCCCCCGTTCCCTGCTAATGACGGTGGGTTAAATGCCGTGCTGCATTCAACTTTAACTCATTGAATTATAAATTATGCCTGCCTCGATTTGTGTGTACGGTACGGAAAATGGCTGAGGAGTGGGAAACGTGCCGGGGAGAACTTTTGGCATTGCCCAATTGACAGCTATTTTTGGAGATGCCCTTCTCCTACCCGAGCTCAAAAGCACCCAAGAGCAAACCATATGTATCCGAAGCCACGACCTGGGTAATTTGCTTTATGATCCCGGCCTCGACTTTGGCCTGGGGCCTGCCATGCTCTCTGGGCCGATTGCCAAAATCCAGGGCCCAGGATGTCCGAAAACGTGTGAAAAATTCAGTCAGGCGTAAGTGCGCCCGGCATAATTTTTGGGATAGGGACTTTCAGGTTCGATTCGGAATGGGACTGGGTTCGGTGCACGTGGAAAATATGCTTCTGTTTTTGCGGGCTCGACTCGGCATGCAAAAGGATCGAATGGAGTTCACTGGAGTGTAAGGCATGGACACACAGGGCAAATCACCTGGAAGTAATATCCATCGGTTGTATCTCCCGAAAACAATGACAGCCTTTTCTGCAATTTATTGATTCTGTCTGACATTGAAACTGGAGCTGCTGATGTCTGCATTTGTTCGGGGTCGTCATGGAAAATCCTAAACGGCAGCTTGATTAATGTTTAATAACGATTTTGGACTGGTCAAGTCATTGGTAATTGTAATGTTAAAGTGAATACAAACAGATGAAGAGAAATTTGCATAATTAAGGCAAAGCAAGTGGAAGCCTTTTATGTGCATCATACATTGTAGTTAACGATGATTAAATAAACCTATTTAAGTGGGCCTATCCAAAAATTAACAAAGATTTTGTAATACCTCTTTCATCTTTCTCAACTAGCTATTTTCAATAGAACTGTGCCTACATTTTTAATAACCCATATAAGAACTTGAAGTTTTGTAACTTATAGAACTGCCTTTTCCCACTTCTCAGCTTCAAATGCGAGCCGCAGGCAAAACTGTCGAGTCTGAGATGACCCACATATTACCCAGACTTTGAGACGAATCTCATCTCATCTCACACTTCTTGGGGCTCTTCTTTTGTCTTCGGTCGCATTTTCCCCAGCCTCTTGGCTTTTTTTGTGTTGTTATCTTAAGTGCACTTTTGAAGTGTTTTATTTATTGCACGACTTTTTCCTCTCTCCGGAGTTTTCTCCTCTTCTTAAATGCGGAAAGTGTTTCATAATTCAGAGTCGGGGTCTGACTCCAATTTCGATGCGGATTCAGATTCAGAATCCCATTTGCCTGCCCAACTCCAGTTCCAATTCCTCACTTGGACCACACGTCGTCAGTGTCGCCAAGTGTTTCTTTCCCTGGATATGATGGTATCATCTCGATTCAATCCAGGGGCGCTGGTCTCCGCGTTTTGTGTGTGGCTTTTATGGGCTGGCCATAAAAGAAAACTGAAAAAAAACTTAACAAAATACGTTTTTTCTTTGTTATTTATATTTGTTACAGTTTGAGCGCATCTTTTGGAATTTTTCTTCGGCTTTTTTTATCTATCAGGGCGCTGTCTCTAATTGCATAGAACTGCGACCGCCCAGTCCCATAGACAATATATGGGCATCTTCTCGTTTTCGGGATGGCTTTGTTTTGATTGCTGCTGGTCGAGATCTGGAAACAACGTTTATGATGATGCGATTCGGTCCATAAACATGCCGGACCTCCGATAAGAAACCGTTTGTCTTGCTCTTGAGCAGAGAAATCGGTCAATTCATCAAATAAATTTGAATATAAGACTCATTTTAATATTTTTTTAAGAAGGAAAGTAAAACGATAATTTGATTACTTTTATTCAAATGGTTTTTTTAATTCTCAGTGAAATATATGACAATCTGACGAGGTATATCCTTCCAGTTATTCTTTATTGTATCCCATGTGGTGGTTACGTTGGTAACCAGATCTTCAGATTTGAAGTCTTTTAATTTTTGCTCCAGCTTGGGCTTTACTATTTCTTTCATTGTGTTCCATAATGCAGAACTGCTTTCCTCATTCTTAATGCTGTTTTCACAGACCCGAAGATGTTCCTCTTTTTGTATTAGTTCCTTCCTAATTCGATCCATCTCCAAGATATCCACATTATTTAACTTAATGTCATTCAATTTTTTTAAAGTGTCGGAAATCTGTGATTCCAGTATTTGTAGTTCCTGTTCCTTAGCTGCAATCAGTTGACCATATCCAGTTAATATACCTTCTAGTCTGTCATTAGAGCACAAACTTCGGTGTAAAATCAACAAAAGTCCGAAAAATACTATATAGTTCTTCATTATTATTATTTCGCGCTCAGATCTGACTTGATATGTTGTTGACGTTCCAGCGTACTGAACTAAAATGGAAGTAATCTTATTTCATCTCACCATAGAATGTTTTCTACAATCTATGAGAATTGCTAACATATACACTGGGTGATTAAAAATCTAAATATAAAGTAGTGACTTAATTTCAATAAAGTAAATGCAGGTTCAGCTGTGAGGGAATTGTAAACATCTTTAAGATTTCCTTATCTTTTAGAAAATTGGATTTAATTTTATGGAAGTCTTTAGGCATACAGTCGCTTATCAGCATTAATCACTCTTTGTTTATACTTCAATTTTGTTTCGGGTTCTTAATGGTTCATTTCAATTGGAATTTGATGCTAGATGTCTCGCTGTCTGGGCTCTAAAAAGTTGAAACATGAGCCGCTAAATATTTCGAAAGAATATGAGGTTTAATTTTCGATTTTTTATTATTTTCGAAATGCAGTTGCTTATCTCGCTGGCTGATAACCTTCACAAGTCTGGGCGTAGAACAAAGAATAATAGAGAGTGAAATTGTAATATTTTTTCCCCCACTCGATTTCGAGGCCCGCACTTCAAGTAACCCTCTGGATGAATACCGTTCCCTTGTTCAATTCCCACAATTTGAGAACTGAAAGCAATTTGCAAAATGTGTTGAGAATCTTTTGGGTGATTAGAGCCCGACACCGGGACTCGAACTCGAATGTCACTGCCAGCCAATTGATTGATATTCGATCCGGCGAGGATGGAGTAGATATTTACCAAAGTGATAACCTTAGTTCGGGGCCGGATTATGTTGTGATCCGATCGACGTGTGCGCTCAGTTTTCCCATCACGTGCCACACGCGACCTTGGTTTTATTTTCTGCGACATTTTCTGCAACATGCGGCAACCTCTTGAATTTCACTGCAAAATCTCGCTTATTCGGAGGGGAGAAATCCGGGGAACGGAGGGTTAAAGTCTGGATTTGGCGGCTCTTCAAAGCAGCTGCAGAATTTTCCTGGCAACCGAATAATATGCCAGAATCCCCCTGTCTGCGGCTACTCTTCTTCAAATTTTCCTGGCTTTTCGCTTTTTCCTACTCCATTTTTTCTATTTTTTTTTTGGCATCTCTGCACTGTCTATGCGGCAATAAACTAAATTAAAATCACAAATTAGCCTGCTGCAGTGGCACTCAGTCGGCAAACTTATGCTTTGCTCTGATTTATGGTTAAGGCTTAGACAAATTCGAGTTTTGTTTTAACATGCATATTAAGAGAGCTCCTAAATGTATATTTTCCTAGATTTATAATTAACAAATACGTGGTTACAGCAAGTAAAATATTTAATGACGAAGAAAAAATGGATTTAATTGAAATTTGAAATATTTATTTAATATTTAATTTTAGCATATGACTGTACTGAATAATATTTATATTGAGTTATCAAAAATGTACCTATAAATATTCCAACATTATCTTTGAAAGTAAATTAAATAAATTATTAAATATTTATATGTCGCCGGTAAATTAATTTATTTTTAATATTTACAATATTGCTTGTATTTTCGGAAATATTAACCTGAATTCGTAGAATTTTAATTTAATTTCGACTCGATATCCTACTTATTTTGTAACATTTTTCACCCCCCACTTTCGATTCCCCTCGCTGGAAAAGAGTATCTCTACCTACCCATATTGTGAAAAACAATCACGGGTTTCTTCACAACAAATTCTTAACGCAAAACCAATAAACAATTACGCATCCATGATCACCTCTTCGGCAGCATTGTCATTGTCATCCCCTGACCACTCGATTTCCACCCCCTTTGCCCCACACCACTGGCCACTTTTCCCACTTTCCACAAGGACTCTCGACTCTAGGACGACCCTTGGCCACCAAAAATGTGGAAGGCCGGCAATCAGTGGCCATTGAATTGCATTTGCCACTGGCATTCCCGTTATGCGCCATTATTTCGTGTAATCCATGTGAAATAGGGGCACTGGACATGCGACTGCAGTTCCTTTTTGGGAACATTTTTGAGCACATCGAAGCACTCGAGCGAAAAGGTTGCGAAAATGGTGCGCAAGCGTAAAAACCGGAACCAGAAATGGAATAGGATCGCATTAGCCGGATGTCCGTTATGGTGGCCAGCTGTCTATTGCCCATCTATCTGAGTTTCCACCCCCTCAGAAGCCAAATGAAATTTGCAAACAATTCAAATGGAATTTGTACACGCAATTTTCAACCTTTAGAGTGTCTAGTAGAGGGGGGTTTAAAAATGTTTGACAACTTGATCACTGGCTATGCGAACAACAAAGTTGTTGCATTTTTCTCCTGGCCACGCCCCCGCACCGCAGTCCGCCCCCTTAACACACACAACTCCAAATACCTCCATCTACATACAACAAATCACTCAGCCCGAAAGTCAAGTCAAGTCAAAGAGTCGAGAGCATGGCATAAATGTTTAACAACCAAACTGCAGTTTAATTGCCCAACCAACCAGCGGAGGAAAAAACAATGTTTATTTTTTCTTTGGTGGAGCCTGAGTTGGCTGGTGGAAATGACAGGCAATGCCGGCGGAAGAAGAATAGCAAAAATAAAATGTGACCCAAACAATCTGGCAGATAGGCTCGTAAAACGAGCGGTGCCAACTAAAAGACAAAAAAAATAAGCTGGAGAACAAAAAATGAAAGGTTTTTCTGTGGTCGAAAACTGAAAAGATGAAAACAACAACGCAAAAACAAATTATGAAGTAAACAAAGCCGGGTTACATGTCATCCATACAAGGCCTCGTTACAGTGTCCTCAGATTAACAGGCAATTAATTCGTTTACAGGCTGAAAAGGAGTTCAGATTGCAGCTATTTAGCTATATGATGGTCTATGGTAAGTTTAAATTGGGAATACACACATTGTAGGGATAATAATCATAAGCCTTAACGGCGACGTTAACCTATGGTTACTGATGATATGGTAGTGGTTCTACTTGGAACAGCTTTTTCATTGGGTAAAAATTCCAATGTAATGTATTAGTTTTGTTTCTTTTTATAACTAAAAACCTTTATTCACTAAGTAATTATAATATCTAAATTTCTTTCCTTATAGATCTTTAAATACAAATGATAAAAATATTTATTTTAAATTTTTTTTGTTGGAATTTTTTTTGGAAAATTTATTTAATTAAAAGGATGGTTAAATCTAAGTAGTTCTAATATAATTTAACGATATCTGGGACATCACAAAAAAGGAAAATTATTTGAAAATCATTACAGTTTTTTTAGATTTCAGCTAAAATGTTGACCCACTGTGCAATGATATGCCCTCCTTTGGGTCCCCCCTGCAAACATTGGATGGTCGAGTGGAGGAGATGCAACATGTGTTCCGGGAATGAGCCGCGTGCCGTTTTATACACGGTGCGCTATAAATTTTATTGTTGTATGCGTGTTCTGCCGTAGTTCCCGGTTCCCAGTTCCCAGTTTTCAGATCCCCAGTACCCATTTCCCAGTGTTTGTATAAGTTGCATGCATCAGGCCTTTCCGGCCTTCTTTTGAAGCGCCTCACCACATCCAGGGAACAGAAAACAGCGAAACAGTCAAAGGGCAACCGATCGTAAAGCAGCTGACATTTATGATGGATATACAGATATGGATGCAGCGGATGGAATAGACCGCCTGGTTAAATGGGCTCCATTTCTTTTCCTGTCGGTGTCTCCCAGCATCGATGGCCAAGAATTCCATGCCATTTGGGATTATTTGTCGCCAGCTTAGAGGCATTTTTCATCTTCCTGCGGTGGCAGCAGTTTCTAGTATTTCTGGTGTTCCAGTTGATGTTGATGTTGGGTCGCCCACACAAACTCGCAATTACGTTGTTTATTCTCGACGACAAGGGCTGAATGCATGCTAGAAATAAAAACATGCCAAAGGAGGTTGGCAGCAGCAGCATCATTATTATCGTCATCCTTTTGTCATCGCATGCAAACATCCAGACATGGTTCACAAATTGTAAGAATCAAACGGCAAATAATGCAGACAACTACGTAATGACAACGGAAAACACAGAACTGAGAAAACTAACCAGAAGTCAGTTGACATAGGCGAAGTTAAGATGGTCTTTCAAGTGGTAACACTGAAATGATCTGTATTATAAACAAAACGCAGGTTCTCATTAGAATGTTTTTAACATTATTGATCCTGTTCATTTTTAAGGGATATTTTATATGGTTGGGGATAAGAAACTAATCCATTCACTTGGGCCACAATGGACCCCATGTGATACCATATAATCTCTGTAAAGATAAATTGATGTATATTATTATTATGTACCAAAGAACAATTTATACCAGGATAATTTATTACAAATAGTATTATACCATAATTATTTTACAAAACGCCTCAGCACCTTCTCAAAATCGAAGTACCCTTTCAATATTTTAGTAAATCCTTATCTAAGGATCCCACGGAAGTCAAAACGACAATGCCTTGTGCCATTTTCCACTCTCAACTCCGCCTTTTTCTTCTCCTCCGTCAGCTGCTTGTTATACCCGTTACTCGTAGAGTAAAAGGGTATACTAGATTCGTCGGAAAGTATGTAACAGGCAGAAGGAAGAGTTTCCGACCCCATAAAGTATATATATTCTTGATCAGGATCACTAGCCGAGTCGATCTAGCCATGTCCGTCTGTCCGTCTGTCCGTCTGTCTGTCCGGATGAACGCTGAGATCTCGGAAACTATGAGAGCTAGGCTATTGAGATTTGGCGTACAGATTCCTGAGCTTCTTACGCAGCGCAAGTTTGTTTCAGTAGACTGCCACGCCCACTCTAACGCCCACAAACCGCCCAAAACTGTAACTCCTACAGTTTTGATGCTAGATAGAAAATTTTAACTGAAATGTATTGTTCTCAACAATACCTATCGATTGACCTAAAAATAAATTTTCCACGCCCACTCTAACGCCCATAACGCTTAAATCTGTCTACCGCCGGTAGGTGGCGCATTTTAATCTCGCTTTGCTGCTTGCATATCTCCATTTCCCTTTGAGTAACGGGTATCTGATAGTCGAGGTACT